GAGCGGCGCGGCGCCGCCGGGAGGGGGAGCCGCCGCCGCCGGCGCAACCACCCAACCCAATGGCCGAGCCGCCAGCGGGGGAGCCGGCGCAGCGAACGAAAGCAACGGGGTACCCGCGCATCCCTCGGCGGCGCCCCCGGCGGCATCGGCATCCTCGCCGGCGGTGGGAGGTAGCACCTCCTCCTCCTCCTCCTCCTCCTCCGATCCCAACCATCCGGGGAGGCGTCGTCCACCGACCCCTACTAGCGGCTCGCAGCCTGGCGCCCAAGAGAGCGCGCCGGCCCCGCCAGTCCCGAGAGGCCTTCTCGCGGAGGCGCTTGCGGGGCCCGGTCCGGCCACTCCTGCCGCCGCCGCCCCCGCCCCCGATCCGCTTGCTGGCTCCACGGGGCGCGAGCTCGGGCAGAGGCTTCTCGGGGTGGCGAGGAACGCGGCGAGCGGTTCGTGGGCGGAGGAGCCGGCTAGGCAGAAGCAGAAGACGGCCGCGACTACCATGCCGAGCTCTCAGACATACTCTTCGTCTTCGTATAGCGCGGCGGCGGTGGCGGCCACGGCTTCGGCGTCCGTTACGGGTACGGCTTCTTCCGTGGCGGCGGCGGAGAGCAGACCCAACGAACCCACGTCATGGGACGGGGAGGTGCAGGAGACTCCCGAAGACCTGGCGGCGATGGAGTACCTCAAGTGGGAGTTGCACGGTAAGGCGGCTTTTTGTTTTGGTGCGTTAAGTCGGAGTCGATGAGGGACAGCAACGTTCGTGCGGTTTTGGTCGTTTGTTTTGTTTGGAATCGATGAGAGAAAGCAGAGACTTGCACGCTAGTTTGGTACAAGTAGTTTGTTTTGAATCGATGAGAAACGGAAACGTTCGTGCGAATCGTACAATAGACACTATCCTGTTCCTGTCAAGGCACGTCCGACTACGACAGACTGGTTGGCTCTGAACTCGAATGGTTCGTGACAGCATACATAGCAGCACGTTTCGTCATACACGCACTTTCGGTGTGGTCATGCAAGGATGTGGCCAGCAGACGAGTATGCGTACGCACAGCTTCGATTGTTGTGGTAGAGTATTGACATCAAGGCAATCTTATTTTCGCGCTTCCGCCGCTCATATTCTTTTATCAGGCAAGTTCATGGCCTTCCCGGGAGAGCACTATCACAACCTCTTGGCTAACCTAGCGTCGGAGATCTACCACAATCGGTACCCTGTGGAGCACGGGATCGACATACTCCATGGGGTCATGCGAGACGCCGGGCCTGAAGCTTTGCAGGTGTGTATAATAGTTCGTAGCGTGCACGCGCTCTACGGCGGAACTCGTTGACTCCAGGCTGTTTTCCAAGAATTCCATCTACACACGCCATCGGTAGACATTGTAGACTATAGAGCGATATCTGTGCTCCTCATGTAGCAATCGTGAGTGCCAAACGCTACCTCCTGTGCTACGTGTGTATGCTGTTGCGGCGTGTTTTCGCTGAGAACATGTCCCGACGTTGTCGCCCTTAGCCTTTTTCGGTGCTTGTCTAGAGTACAAATATGTCTGGGACAAGTGCAGATCCTCCTGGTTTTACAGGTCCCCGAGCCTGCCTGGGGGGGGCGTGCCGTCATCCTTTTTTTTTTGTCCTTACCTTTTTTTCTTGCTCCTCCTTTTCGCCCTCTTTTTCTTTTTTCCCAGAAGGCTGCTAATTCGATAATCTAAGACCAAGTGTATTTTTTTCTTGGTGTCCCGTTTCCGACGGCAGAACGTTGCACAAGTACCACAACGTGCTTCATACCTACTCAGGCGGCTTGTTGACTACATTTTTGCTTGCGTCCACTTCTCGCCATAACAGACGCCCAATCCATGTGGACAAATGCAATTTTTTGTTGTCTTTGTTTTTTTATGTTTGGGGACGACATAATATGGTTGTTTTTTTCTGAGCATTTCCACCAATTAGTCGCACTTCCGGATTATGGCACCGAGACTAAGAATCCCTCGCAGTATCACCGAGGGCACGCGTCAAAAACACCCGAATTTTTTACGGGTGAACCATCACTTGTCCAGCAAAAAAGAATCGACACCGGTCGCAAAACTTGAAACGCCGCCCTTTCCTTCTCCAGTTAATTTCTCTACCCTCGTCATGCGGCCGGCGCACTCCGAGTGAAAATGTTAATTCGGTCGGTGCTTTGTTGTTGCCGGCCCACCCTGCCGTCCGTTTTCCGTCTCTCGAGCAGAAGTGTGCCGCCACGCTCAAGAGAATGAACCTCCCGCCGAAGATGACCATCTAAACGGCGGGATGGAAAAGAATGAAGAAGAACCTTGTTCGGAGCCGAAGAAAATGTTGATCATGGAAGCAAAAATACCGGCAACAGGAAGAGATTGGGCAGGCTCTATTCGGAAAGACCGCCTACCGATTAGAAGACGGTGCACGCGAGTGTCTCCTGTTTTGCGGACGAGTGTGAGCGTCGAACGATTGGCCAGTGAGAATCTATTCACCTTCGCGACGGGGAAGGTACGGCGGACAGCGAAATTTTGTGGGTCAAGGCGCTCAAATGGGGGTGAAAGTCGAGAAGAGTGTGAGTTGGGAACCCTGTTCAGCCATTCACCAATCTACCCGGAACAACGGCAGTTCTCACTTGGTACTGCTGCATCCATCGGTACACCCAAGTTGTTCTGGTGCAAGGCGGCGATTGTGGTGCTGCTGGCTCTTCTGACCTTGCCTTGTAGACCCTGCAAATCGGCGATTGTGTCGCTGGCTCTTCTGATGTAGACCCTTCAGTTCGTCTGAGGATTTCATGTCCTGCTGTTGGTGGCGGTGTTGACGCTAGGGAAGCGCCTGGCTCTGAGGTTTTCTTAGTGCGAAAGGAGGCGTGTCCTGTTCCAGTTCTCTCTGAACTTTCGTGACGATTTCTGAACGTGGGCGGAGGGTCAGTTTCCGTCCGCTGCTTGGAGGTCGGTCGTGTACGGATGGAAGGGTTGGCCTGTTTCGAAAGGTGCGGTGCGCGAATTGCCCTTTTGTTGCCCCGAGCTTACAACAAGCGGGATTGCGCGATAGGTGCTTGGGTGGAGGTGTTGTTTCGGCGTGAAGTGAGGCTGCTTGTTGTGCGATTAGACTACTCGTTGGAACGGGGGGTGTTGACCTGTATGTACACTATTGTGGATCCGTGAGAAAATGTTTTGAACGAAAGCCGTCGGCGACGTGTGCTTGCTCTTTGCCTTGTCGTGCTGGATGCAGGCGTGTTAGTCATGCACGATGGTTTTTTTTTTCGAAAACGAAACGAAGGCGACGCCAATCGAGATGAAGAGCAAAAGTACGGGGCGTGAACGAAGGTGTTTAGCAATAACGGAGGAAGCTACGCCACGCACCGTCGCAGGAAACACCCACTGTCGGCCTTGCTGTCTTCTTGACGGACCAGAGGGTACTAGAAAGCGCTTTCCACTAACTGAGCGCAGAGAGAACCCTTGCACCGTGTCTGCAGGTGTTACATCGATTCGCAGAATATAGCCTGGCACTTTGCTTTAGACAGAGCAAGGGGACGACACCTGCAGGCCCACATCCATCCCTTCACTCAACTGTCTGCCTGCCGCGTGCGCGTGCCACGCCTGCCTACGAAACAAGAGCGCGTCAATGAGCCTTCACTGTCGAAACGACTGCTGTAGCAGTTACATCCCGCTCAATCCAGTAACGGGAGGGAGGAGTCCTAGGGTGTCCTGCGCCCATTCGTCATGTGCATAGAAGAAATACCAGGGCGGGTAGCACTGGTTAGACTCTGAAACCCGCCATTGTCTGCGCACCACCAACTAGAAGAAATAAGGAGAGTGGAAATATGAAAAGTATGTTCTCGGGGTTCTATTTCTGTTTTTAAGATATTTGAAATCTCGCGCTCTCTTTTGCTGTCTCCACCAAGTCTTCCGGTATTCGTACCAAGAGCCGTTCGACTCAAAAGCGAAATAGAGCCCCCGCCCCCCGCTGACCCTTCAACCTCATCACTGGAAAGTGCGCGATTGACCCAGACGATCAGGTCTACTCCTACCAACAGCTTTAAATCTTCGACTCCAAAAATAAATACGGCTTGAAAGTTGTTTGATGGACCAGGCGATACCGAGCTCGACGGCCCCAGAGGTTGGCGGCTGAAAAGATTTCGGCGCCTCGTTCAAATCGCCTCAACTCCTACCCTACCCTACCCTACTACTGTACACCACTGCCAGTCAGACAAGTTATTATTCCAGAATTTGTAGACATGCTTCCTTAGTTCCCTACACAGTTCCCTACACCATTCAGGCAGACAAGGATATGCTAATCGTTTGAGCATGTACCGAAGAACACTCTGGCATACGTTTGCCATTCGCTCAACTCCCTCACACAAACTCAACAGGCAAACAAGAGATGTTCCATCTGGTGATTCCGTCCACCCCTTCTCAACTTCGGCAACACTCCCCAAGCCAACTGACACGCCTGATGCGGATTTTTTTTCGGTTCCCGAGCCAGGGGATATGTAGGCCACTACTGTAAATACTGCCCCCCCCAATGTGCCGTCCTCTCGAGGACGCGTGGTCAATAATCTAACCGCTGAGGAATGCCAAACATAAGAGTACTTCCCCTTCTGGGCTTGATTTGGCCTCATACCTCACAACAAAAACTCCCACCTAGGACAAGAATAGCTTCCCCTTCCGAACATATGATACAGCTTACCCCCTTACCCACCCCCGAAAATATAGCGGTAAGTCCTGACTAGCGTCCGATCTAAGAGAGTTTGACACCTAGTACTTAATTTCCTCTTTGAGCAAAATCACTTTAGTTTGTGGTGCAGGTCAGAACAAACCGCTCGTGCCCTCTCGACATGCCGCTGTACAAACGCCGCACGTACATCAACCAACACGTCCATGCTCTTGTGCCATCCAAACCGACCCAACTCTAGCAACAATGACAAAAGCTCTAAACCGCTCCGACAATGTACTACTACACGGCCAATCCTCAGTTGCACCGCCGTCTCCTCGACCAAGACCAAGTCTCCACTCACATCGCCATCGTAATCATGGCCCAAGGATAGCTATCTACCATCTCATCAAGACTTGCCTTTGCTCTTGGAGCGCCTGCGTATCGGTCCGACAACACAGGGAAGGGGGGAGGGAGGGGGGGTCAGTACCCTTCGCAGGGTTTTTCGTATCATGTTACCATTGGAAAAAGCATGCAATCGGGGAAGCTGGGTTAGGGTTAGGGTTAGGGAATACGGTCTGCGTGCCCCCTCCCTGTTCTATTTCCTCGTAAATTTATTTTAATCGCGCGAAGGCGGTTCGGAGGGGTTGACAGAGGGGGGGGGTTAAGCGACCGTAAGCAACATGAAAGAGCCACGAGGTTGTCGCGCGCGTTCCGGACGGGTTTCTATGTTCACCATAGAGCACGAAACAAAACAGCAGCGGCTACAGCAAGAGCATCAACAGCATCACCAGCAGCGTCATCGAACAACAGCAGGAGTGTCGTCGAATGACCATCGTGGAACGAGCCAAGCACAAGCCAGTGGAGAACCCGTTCGAACAAATAGTTTATTCGCCGTCGCGACCACACAAACTGCCTCCCACAAGCTAGCTAGCACAAATCTTGCCGCAGGTGGAAAATCTTTATTTGCTGCGCGTGTATCGAAAGGGTGTGGGGGCAGAGGTGCATAGTGTCGTTGGACGCAGCAATCAGGGCTATACCCAATCTCCTACGCCGGTCTACGCTACAGTCAGCCTAGCCCACTCTTCAGATGACAACCATCAGCTTATGAAGCGGTTCGTCAGATCTCAAATGCCGCGAGGAACTGCTGTTGTGTTCATCATGTCTACGGTCATTCTCAGCCCGCTCATGAGGCGACATCAATCCTGGGGAGGGCGGACGGGTAGGCAGGACTCGTCACGAAAGGCCGCAAAACAACAGCAACAGCTGGGCCGGCAGCAGGGCAGCTGCGAGACTTAGCTACACACGCGTCAAAGCTCCAAACAAGACGCACGCGAAAGCCCCGGAGTGAGTTTTTATACCTGTACCCCCTGATGGTGCAGAAAACTCCGCGGGGCCCCACCGGTGTTTCACCAAAAACGTTTATCTTTCGCAGTGAGAGGTTCGTGACCGCCTGCCCCCCGAAGAGGGCCTTGGTGGGAAAGGTAACGACCTTCTTCGCAAGGGCGTGGCGCTTGTTGTACAGGGCCCGTGCCTCCGCCAGCTGAATTGTCGTTGTTGTCGTTCGTGGTTTCATTAAAAAAAAAAAACGTGCAGACATCGATGGGGACACCTTTCGTTAGGCTCTAGTGTGGATGGGAAGTGTACTATCTTGGAAGAAGCGTAGGATTCACGCGGACACATCCTCGCAGTACCCCTGTCGCTTTTTCTTCGTCAAAACGAAGCTAGCTACCGTTGTTGTTGTTGTTGTTGTTGTTGTTGTTGTCTTCACATTAAAAACCGTTCCGTTCTCTCTGCTTAGTACCTTCTTCTGTCCGTACTACTCTAACACTTGATGGGGTCGATTCCCGTGGTCACAGGCTAACTTACCCAAAAAAAGGTATACGAAAATAAAATGGACCCGAAGGGTCCGCAAGCCAATAAAAGTCAACGATAGATAGTCTAGGCCATTCCGTTCGCCTCTCTGCACGCTATGCGAGGTAAACCCTCCCTATAGATTGGAAAAGGACATACCAGCCGGAAATAAAAAGAAAGGAAATCAAGCACGAACGGCAACAACAGCGGTACCAAGAGTATCTAGCAAGTTACAAGCGACTTGAAGCGTGATTGTCCCTACCTCATCCGGCTCGAAGTGTTCATTGTCACCGTCCTCGTACTTGATGAGCCAAAGGTCGCCGTGCTCATCGTCACTCTCCGGCGGCAAGTAACTCGACACCTGAAACAAACACACAAAACAAAAAAACATCAATCAAGGATGACATGTCCACCAAACAAATTCGGTGGCAAGTAACTCGACACCTGAAACAAACACACAAAACAAAAAACCCCAATCAAGGATGACGTGTGAACCAAACAATCACGGTGGCAAGTCACTCGGCACTTGGAACAAATAAGCAAACCAAACAGACAGACAACCGTCAAGCAGGACACCTGAAACAAACAAAAACGTGGACACCTAATACAAATGAAAATCAAGGTGGCAAGCAACTCGGCACTTGGAACAAATAAGCAAACGAAATCAACACCATGCGTGCGATAAAAGTAGCTGGCCTATCATAAGACACGAGATTTGCATACAATAAATGTGACAGAAAATGGACATCGAGCTGTCCACCTGCCGTAGCAGCCCAAGAAACGTGTGGTACGCTTTCCGAAACCCACGGTTCATGAAACACATTCCGCCAGTCCATGGCACGTACCGCGGAACGGTCTCCGCCCACCCACCTCGCCGTCGAACTCCTCGTCGTACCGCGGGAAATACTTGCGAACCCCGGCGCCCACGAGCTTCTCGCAGGCATCGAGACGCGCCGCCTTGACCTTGCCCTTCCCCTTGCGCTTAGGGGTTCCTTTCCCCCCCCCGTTGGTGCTGCTTTGGGATTCGCTGCTCACGGCCTTCACGTCTTCGTCATGCAAGTCTTCGTTCGCTAGGTCCTCGGCAGTAACTTTGCCCCCCTTCGTCGCCTCAAACCTGTACAGCGTGGGTAGCAGTGGTTGGGGTTGGAGTGGGGTTGGGTAGGGGTCAGGGCAGCTGGATGGTAGCCAGAAGCCCCCAGAGGGAGAGGTAAGTGGCGGCATGATGGGGGGAAGATGGGGGCTTCGGGGACCGGAGATGGTTGCGAACCGCGAAATGTTTGTCGCCAGTGCTGCTTTGGCGCCGTTGCCGATTCGGGAACCTCGCATAGATGTCAGGCCAATTGGCTTGACAAAAGAGACGAACACAAGCTGTGTGAAACGCATGTTTCCCATCATTTCCCATCATTTCCCATCATTTCCCA